GGGTGACTGAGGAAAGGGGGGGGGGTCTTTCTATTGCCCTTGTATCGCTTGGGTTATAAGCATCTAGGTTGAGGGTGAGCCCCTGCTCTTCATCACATGGACAGCGGAGAGGTTGAGTTTAGTGGGTCGCTACGACACTGTTTCCCACACTATAGACTGAGACTAAAGACTGAGATTTACTTTTATTGTAGGTCAGAGTGGCACAGTTGGTTATGAACTTAACTGAGTGACCTTGGTATATCTTACATTAAAAAATTACTGCTTCACTTTTCTGTTTATTTGACACCATTTTACTCTTCTGTTTATTTCAGTCAATTACCATCAATAATTTATTTATAGAGGCACACGCCATACATGTCCAGGTGCTGTTTTAGCCTTTTGTCAATTACCTACATCATTTTAACGCATGCCGCCTCTAATTTCATTGGCTCTGTCTCTATACCAAAAAAAAAAAAATGTTGATTTTCGTATTCTGTTTGTTACTGTCATATCACTCCGTTTATAAGTACTGGCTTGTTTTAATACAATAAGTCGAAAAGCAGCTATGTAACATCTTTGTAACAGTAACAATACAGTTTTTGATTTAAAAAAATAACGAAAAGACCAATTTTCGATTCCGTTTAAGAAAGTTTTTTCTCTGCTCTGAATTCTGACCCCATACAATCTTTAACAAATTCCAGATACCTTTTGAGCCCTATGCACCCCCCCCCCAACTAAAACCCCCAATTTATTTCCATTTCATTACGTTAGACATGCCAATACAATACAATCTGGCCGTTGTATCTATGGAAACAAACCTTTTTTTTTTTCAAATTTGATTGCAGATTTTAAGACTCCTTACTAGACTTGTTATATGTATGTGAAAATTGGTAAATTGGATCCACTAATAAGTGAGATAGCCTTCAGCGGTAACACCCCCCCCCCCCCCCCTAATATTGATAGAATGGACATACGTACCGTTGCTGCATATTAATAAATGGAGAATTTTGTCCTGCAATAAAGACTATTTTATAACGATGGTTTTAAAAACAGCTCAAAACAGATCAGTCGCAGATACAACGCAAAATGTGCACTTAACATTACATGTGCTCATTATTAGTTTGCTAAGGAGTAATTGGTTTTGTGTAGAGCACGAACACTTTGGGCATCGACTCTACTAAAATTTAGATTTAATTGTCTGT